ACGAGATCGCACGTCTACAGTAGATAATGGTCGATTAGATAAGATCGGCGGTCGAAGGCGGCGAACGGGGAATTTTTTTTTAAATTTTGTTTTTATTTGCAATATGCTACAACCCAACAGCAGGCAAATATTTTGACAAGGTTTGCAACGGCATGTGATCGAATTGGGCATTCACAGTCCTTCTTTTTTTTCATTTTCTATTGAACAGCCTCATCTTCTTAAGTATTGGCTAATGCCGAGTGAGTGTAATGCTGGGCAATTAGGGTGATTTTCTACGCGGGATTGAGATCCGCTCATTGCAGGAAATGGCAGAGCAGAAGCGGGCAAGAACGTAACTAATGTAAAACAGATACGTGGAAACGAGTAATAACATTTTCCGCGCCTTTTATGAGTATCGTGTATTGTCGATGACATAGTGTATTGAACACAGCACTGTCCATAGGTATTTCAAATGATATTAATCACTCCTTTGGCAATACTTCACTATATTACTTATGATTAATTTACTGCCAGGACACACTCTCGCATACGGGAGTAGATTTGCTTTTTTCGCAGACTTCACAGCAACTACTAAAACAAAACGAGCACTTTTTCCCGGACTCTCTCGGCTGGCGTCAGAATTATTGGCCCGATGCTCATTGCTTCAAAAACGATGCTAATTTCCATTGCATCTACTTGAGTAAATAAATGAAACTTTCAAATGACACAGTATATCACCCATATTTCAAATTGTCAATTGCGAATAACATTAAACAGATCGAATCTACAGAATCACGATTTTCTTTACGTGTGCAATAATTGCATTTGGTTCCTACTTTTATTTAAGAGGTTTAATAGTCCGGAAGTCACGCCCTTTCCGCCTTCCGGAAAAGCGACGCGGAACAAGAAGCAAAGCGTCGCTGCAAAGCAAATGCACCGCTGCCCTCGAGTTGATTGCCAGAGAAGAGCATCGCCGCATTCCGCACTACATGGATTCTTAGGAAGCCTTTAGGCTCATCTAGATCATTACTCGTACATATATGCCAGTTGCGAGCCATGGTCCTATCTCTAGTTTTGAACCAATGATTTAGGGCACTGTACTCTATCTATACAAAACGAAATTGACGGTGCAACAAACTGGTACAAATTCTCTCGTAGTAGTTGGTTTCCTAATTACTTTAATCTTCGCTAGCTTTTCAGATTTGTCCCAAGCTCTTCCCAGCCCCTACATGTGGGCGCCTAAAATACAAGTTTTTTTTCTTGAAATTACAATCTTCATAAATGAAGTCTCTAAAGAAAGAGAATTTCACGGAGACGCTATGAACTACATTTTGACTTTAAAAATATGAAAGATTTCTTTTACAAAAGTCATCTACATATTCACGTCAAATGCAATCCGCAACACTCGACAGAATTGTCAAAAGCAATATAGTTTAACTCCTAAACGAAGCATTCTAGGGCCTTAAAACTTATAATTTTGAGGCCAAACGCCTAAAAAATGTTCTGCAAATCATAAACTACAGGATAAGAATCGCTTATCAATACTACGTCATCTGTTCAGATACGTGCAGAATTTACAATTGTATGTGAAATTAATCTAATTACTTGATATTCCAAGCGATTAAATTCCAAGAGTGTGTTTATCAGTTCGGTAATAAAGTTAAATAATATTACAAAGAGTAGGGTTGTGTTTGTCTGATCCTGTACTTTCGCATGGACAAATTTCGAGAGGGAAAAGCTTTTATAGTAACTTCAAATGTTGTTTTTAACGAAGTGTTGTGAACTGTTTCAAGAACGTTTATAACAACGAATAAACCTTTAATCAAAATTTGTTTCAAACATGAATTTCATTGTTTCATTTTTATTTTAAATTCCCTCACTACTTTGGAACCACCTTTTTTAAACAAATAAATACGTTTCGTTAAGAACTTCCCTTCTTAATATCAAAAAGGAAAGGTAGGGAAGAGCGTGGAATTACCAAGCAAGATTTCTCGCACGGGTACACTAGTCTATGTATATAAAAAAGAAAGTGGATGTGACTGTCGCATAAACTAGTACACTGATTTCTCTGAAGTTTTTACACTTTGTTCTTATTACCGTCGGAATTTTTTAAAGAGTAGTTTGAATTAAATCGGATATGTGGAGGCGTTGATTATGACTCGCGTCTATGACGGCTCTAGCGCCCCTGAAGAGCAGCGCTAGGCAACCGGCCGCACCTTCGCGTATTAAGCGCGTGTCCGGCTTCATTCTGTACGTGTGATTGTAAAATATCGGCCGGAATTTTAACACTCGATATTTCTTGAACGTTATCTCTGACAAGTAAATCTAAGTTCTCCAAGGCAGCGACATAGCAAAGGCAAGCCCACACTTCAGGGAGAACGTTTTGACAATGGGATACTTGTCACCCACATTCAAACCAGAACACAGTACAAACCTATATTCGCGAGTTTTTCATTTATTATCATTTTTGCAGGGAGTAGCGTAAAACTTGATTGAGAATCCTGCCAAGTAACGTGAGAAGTGTAATACACTGCAATAGCGAATCATTGCAGGGACCACTAATTTTGCTACAAAGGGGGGGGGGTTCAGTCTCCGTGCCCCATCTTTTGTTTCTCGTTTGGTTTCTCAAAAGTATTCAACCCAGGAAATAATCATACGCACGCTATTTTACTTATCTAGATATAATGCTAATGACGGCAGTAAATTATTCACACGGAAAAGGACTAAAAAATAGAAATTTAAATAAATGAAGAGCCCTACCGACAGATATCGATCCACGAAAATCTGATTTCTTTGCTTCAATTTTATTCATGTCACTGCATCCACAGCATGACTTTCGCGAATCCTACCTATCACGGTTGCAGCGCGCTGCCTTTGCTCCAAGTTCCTCAATAATTAGTGTACGCACGGACAGCTGCGAGCGAGGACAGCTGCGAGGCGAAGGCTCAACAACACACAACTCCTTCCTATTTCCTGTCTTTTTCTACTAACGTTTCTCACAGTGTAACGACATGCATTTGAATGGGCGAGTGTTAAAACGAACCTAAGTCATTCTTTGAGAGTTTTGAAGGGGGGAAACCCTATCACAGCTTCTGGATTTTGTACCAAACAAGTCGAGTTACTTTGATGAAATGGTTAACAGTTGGCTAAGTGGATTAATCCAGGACTATTGTAATGGGTTTTGATCAGAAAAAAAATATTATTACACGATTTGGGTACCTTTTAACAATCAATTCATAATGTAATACTTCTGTGTCACGTTAAGCTAGTATATATTCTAATAATGGGCCTTACACCGACAATTCTTGTAGTGACATTATATCATCATGAACAGTCATACGAATCATGTTATTCACCAGACATCGTGCACCACTGCAAAATGTCTTCATAGAAGTCAGAGTTATTTTGTGGTGGACGCGGTACACATACCGTACGTCATAGAGCTTGGCTTTTTTAATTAGTACTTTACCACGTGAGTATTTAACCTCGGATAATGGATCATTTACTAGGAGTATTTTTGGAAATTACGAACGTGTGACATGAGTTCTGAACATTGAATGTTTCTGTGCGTTTCAAATACCTTTCAAATAGCTGCGATACTAAAAAAATGGAACCCGGATAAGTTGAAATGTGCTCTCTAAACGAGAAGCATTCTTTGTCTTTTGTAAGTTCAGTGGCCGCAAGTTGTTAAAAACAAGGATCTTTTGCCTCTCTCAGCCATTGTTACAGTTTGTCGAGACATCTTGAACCCCTTACAGATGAGACAGCACTACACGGTCTGTGTTCCATGTCGAGTGACCTCGGAGGGAAAACGTACTCGACTGTCTTCTATTACCCAGCGTCCGTGAGGGTTAAGCCGAAGCGTCCGATTGCGCATTATTTTTGAATTAATCAAAGAAAACGGATGCGATCTCATTCGGCCCTTACCGGACTTCTCCATCATGACGTACGTAATAATTGGCTAGACTAGAGTTCATGTTGTAGACATAGAACGCGTTTACTCTTTGTCTAACATTAAAAATCCTGGAAAGAAATTCTGAGTGGCACACGATGATGCATGTAATCACAAACAAGACCGAGTATGTCATTAAAAATATTTCGCAAACTCTTATTACCAATACAGCGTGTTAAAAGGTATCTGAATCAATTTCTACGGCAACTTCTTACAATCAAATCTAAATCCTCATGGGCTGGAACACCAACATAGAGGGATGGCAAGTTTTATCACTAAAATGTGTCTAGCAATCGCCCCTTCATTTGTTATCACAATTTTGTTTTAATCAATAGGCACGTTAGGACCTGCCAAGTTCCCGAGTCACATTTATATTAGACTAAAATTGACGATAGTGACGTTCCTTTTCACACGGACCAGGATTCCCCACGCGACCTTCTCGGATTTCCACGAAATTTTTGTATGCCCAGCCACCACGTGTCTCGCGGGAATTTGTACCGTTGTAGCTTCAAAGATGAAAAATTTTTAAAATATTGCGATATTTGACCCCGTGCGCCATTGGGGTACAATATTTCCTTTTCCGTCACTGACAAACATATGAAACTTCATTTACTTGTACATCATTTCTAGATCTTTTCAATGGAAATAATATGAATTTTACGTTTATGAGCTCACAGTGAGTACATTTACCAAAGTCACCGAACAAATTAGTATTAAAAATTCCAGATTGTAACTCTGAATAGCTTCCTTAATATTTTAGTAAGAAACGTGAAACTTCGCTCGTGACACATCAACACCACATTTTATCTTACAACGCAATTTCAATTCCATAGCTCTTACAATTACATTATAAAGTAAGGTTAAAATACAGTTAAGATAAAGTAAGGAAACATGCTCACAGACTGAGAAAACACGCCCACATGCAGAAACACGCCCACATACATACATACATACATACATACATACATACATACATACATACATACATACACACGCCCACAAGCAAACGCGCGCCCCCCGTCTCACTAGCCGCCCATCCCAGAAGGCTGTGTGCGGCGGTTGCTCTCACCGTGCGGCAGCGGCTGCACCTGCCCGGCGGCGGCGGCCGCGGCGGCGGCCACGCTCTGCAGGAAGGAGGCGGGCAGCAGCCCCGCGGGCCGCAGCAGCGCCGGGGCGGCCTGGTGCTGCGGCTGCGGCTGCGGCGGCGGCGGCGGCGGGGGCGGGGCCGCCTGGGGCTGCGCCTGCCCGCCGGCCGCGCCTGCCGGGATGAACAGCGCCTCCTGCCCATCCACCGTCACCTGCACGGGCTGCAGCACATTGTAGCCCACCTGCTGCTGGCAACACACGCGCATGCGCGCACGGCGCGGCGGTTAGCTCGGCCCGCTGCGAGCCGCCCGCGAGCCGGCCCGCAATTTTTTAAGTGTCCTTTGTTTTATCCGTGGCAAAATTTAAAGAAAAAAATTGAAAATGTTATTGAATGATTTTATAAAGTGAATTAAACTCGAGCAGAAATGACACTTAAACTATTAGTTGTTATTTTTAATGTGCACGACTTTATTTCAAGATGCCTATGTACAACACATTTCATTAAAAAACAATCCATCATCAATATTGCAGGTCTAGGAAGACGCGAAAAAAAATTGAACACGCAATTTTTGAAAAATCAGGTTTTCTATCAAAAATGAGACCTGAAGCATTGTTTTAAGAGTCTTTAAACAATTCGCGAACAAAGTTTAATTCAAAAAATGAGATCTATTTTTGAGAAAAAAATTGAAAATACATGTAGTTGAAGCTACATGTAAAGTGACCCGATAAATCAAAACTTCGGTTTCAAGCTCGCAAGGCTTTGGGTTGGTTTAAACCGATCGGGGAATACCAATTTTGGAAACACGAGTGAGAACGGTTTAGGAGCTAGCGTTGTTCACAGACAGAAGGGCGGACGGACCGAGGGATACACAGACTCACGGTCGTTTCGCCGTCAATCGATTTTTCGGTATTCAGGGCCAACAAAAGAGGAACTCTGAGTACACAGCGTGTTAGAAGAAGTAATTTATTATACATAGGTACATGATTAATCCATTTTTTTGTTACCCATGCCATGCAATATGCGTTTTTTGTCGAAAAATCGCTGATATCCGGCACACGATAAAAATACTTTATATTCTCACAAAGTAAAATTGCGCGAAAGTAAAATTAGTCGTGTCTTTCAAATTCAATTATCTACATGTTTCAATACATGTTAGTCATATGAAACGCCACGTCGCAATGATGAAATCAAACAGTAAATCTTCAGACAGGATAGCAATTACGTCAAACAAATCATTCGGTTTATAACATTTCCATTTTTCCACTGACACCCTATCTTTCTTATCTCAAACTTAATCATTGAAATAAATACAATTTACCAAAAGAAATAACAAATTTGTAGTACCTAAAAAGCTGTAAAAATTTGTTATATCTATTTTTCTATTTTCGCTCCCGAGGATTTCACACTGTCTCGCAGAAAGAACGAATACTTTTACCCATCATAAACTGGACACAGCTGTTAATATAGTTAATATCGGACCCGACACGCGAATAGGTTAAAAGAGGCATGTTTTTCAAACAATTGGAATTTCACGTTCACTCCTCCTCAGGATTGCAATGCACCGCCTCCCGAATTTTGGGCATCTTATTCAATTATCCAGGAACCTGATATGCTGCGTACACAACGATTCCTTACAAATCAGTCATTATTAACGCGAACAAACCAGAAGATTCCTAAAAAGGTATGGGGTGGTGCTACGATAATAATGCTTCAGATTCAACCAACAGAAGAATTTACTTAGCGGAAGGGAAAATCTGCAACGCTATTCTATGTACAGATACCATCTTATGAAGAAAAATCACTCTAAATTATTGTATTTCGTAAATCGATAAACATTTTTCTAGTCACATAAAATGAAAATTACTTATATATAAACCTGTCAGTCGCTAACGACATTGATTTTACCGCGGCTCAAAATAAAATCTACGGAAGTCAAATTAACTGTCACAATCGAACTGACGTAGGCGTTTTCCCCAAATTCCAATGTAATTCGAAAAGCTTCAAAACATACCAATTGTACAATACTACATTTCAGTGTAGTGCAACCTTCCGGTAATATTGGCCCAATATCATTTCAACTTGTATACTTATTAGTTTTACAAAGCATGAATGCTTATTATACTCAATCGGCTCCCAGGAGCAATTGGGGGAGGAAACAGCTTTGTCCACCACAAAGTCGACGGGGATCGGCCGGGATTTGAACCCCTGTCAAGTGGAATGCTTGCGCGCGCTGACAGCTGTACAGCGGGTGTCTTTGTCCAAAATGGGAACAAGTAAACCATTCTGCGATCTCCCTCAGGGCGAAATGCCCTTTCGCCCTACGAAAGTCTGACAGTGGCGGCCGAAACGCGCGCGCTGGTGCCTAGGACGCGGTGTCTCCTGGACAGACAAGTAAATACAACTACATCGCCACTTACTTGAACCCACACTCTTGTATCTTTCTTTAAACATCAGTGCATTTCTCTCAGATTCATTTTCACACTTCGCTGACGAGAACTAGATACGGAAAATAACCTTTTAAGTAGATTATGACAATATGTATAACATTAGAGAGAGTGACAACGTACTATACGTATAGAAGTTTCCTTTTTCGACGACCGCGGCGCTATATTGTCTAATTACAGAGCATGCCATTGCGTTCTTTACATTTTGCATTTCAGATTTGCGCTTTTATCAGACACGAAAATAACATTTTCAAGTCCAAGAGCAAGCATTTCAAGATCATTGTTGGCGATCAGGCATCAAATTTGACAACCTTTACAGGATGCTTAAAAGAAATTACCAGAACCATAATTTTAAGCAGTGTCATCAAAGGGTATTATGTTCCTTTCTTCCAATTCGTTAATTGTCAGAGCGTCTTTTTTTCAATGATGGTCAGTAAATTCACATAAAATTGTCAATTTTATTCATGTTAACGAGAAAAAAATTTGACACGAAAAGATAACTAGCACTTCGAGCACCGACTCCTGTGGCTAGCGCGCAAGCGGGCGTTTCGGCCTTGAAGTAGCAGATAAAGTTGTAATTAGTTCCATGAATGTTAAATTCAAAAGCAGCGAAGAGCTTTAATGATGTGTTCAGATTCGGAAAAGACACATGCGAGCCTAAAAGAGAAATCGGGGGAGTCTCCCCGACCCGGCAATGGTTCGTTATTGAAATGTATTAATAAATGCAATTTAAGGTCAAAATCAATTTATCCAATGAAGATTAACTACGTTTTAACCACAGTTTACTGTATTTCACTATACTTTAAAAATTATATATTCGAATAATGTTCTGCACCGCAGGCTTTTCATTCACACATCTTCGCTGTTATTCGATATTTTGAGTCGACACGAGGCATGTAATTCAAAAATATATTCATAGATCGCACTTCAAGCAATGTCCTCTGGGAACAGCGTAGAGCCCATCTTGCAAAAACAACGCCCGCTCATGAACGATTTAAGTCAAACCAATCTTACATACTCCCGATATTAATGAGAACAAAGAATGAAAGCCGACCCGGGTGGCAGAGATCGTTAAGGCAGTAGTGCCGTAGCGATCTCGGGCCGAAGGATGGCGGGGCCGATCCCGCCTCGGGCATGGTTGTATTGTGTTCCTCCTTTCACCCCTTAACATCACCATATCACTTCATATAGTATACAAATACTCGTAACTTTAAATCAAAAATGGTCGCTAATAATCTCGTAATTAATGCGAAATTAAAAAACCAAAAAACAAAGTGTGGAACTTTCAGCGATATCAAAGTAGTATTTGCGTATATATGCGACGGATGCACATTCCCTTTTATTTATACACAGGTGGCACTAAATCCCCATTCGAGCCAGGATCTGACATCGCCTCATCGCAGAATCGCCGGAGACTGTGGTTCAGAGGCGCGCCCGAACGCAAACGGCGGCAACAGATTTGCCGGCGGGGCAAAGCAGTGCCCACACGAGGGATGCGACATCGATAACAAAACAAGCACGTTAATCGACTAAAAACCATCAATGTGTTTCAACATCGATGTTTTCAAGCTGGTTTAATAAAACATTTAAGTCGTGTGCAACAAAATTTAATTTGACAGTGTTCTTGTTTATAAATTCACCAAATAAGGACACGTCAAGAAGGGGCAGAACCTATACCAACCATATTTGTTGGGCGAGAGCGTTTGGTTGATGATGGCAGTGCAAAGAGCAATCCTTTGGGTGCACAGTGGCCAATTTTGGTTGCGTAGCTGGGCAAAAATGGAAAACCAAATCCGGCCCAGTCTCTTAAAATCTGCCCAAATGGACTCGCAGTAACCCCAGCCAAGAGAAGTTGGCCAAGGGAGCTCGACTCAGCCCATGGAAGAGTGGGTTAGGTCGATGTTAGACCCACCAGGGGAGGGCCGCAGGGGGTGTCCGCATCCACTTCACGAAGTGCAAACAGAGATGGCTGTTTAGAAGCCTCCGCAATGCTGCGAAGTTGGATGTCCACACTCAAAATGATTCCTGGGAGTACGTATATTAGCATAATATAAAGATTTCAAATAATGTTTTAAAAATTTCATTGTTCATTAACTGATAATTACCGAGCCGGTTATACTAAAAAAAAAAACTTGAAATTCAAACTGACCTACAAACTAGAAAGCATCTTGGAATAAGGAAAATGTTTCGCCATACATTACTTACGGCTTCTGCTTTGATACTTAATGTGGTTTATGTGGCAGTTTGCGTTTACACGTCCTTTCTTTTAGTTTCCTGGCGCGTTTTGCGAAGAGAGTTCTTTCATTTATTTTATCAGAATGTTTACGGCGAAAAAGCAAAATGTCAGTCGACAATAAAACACAGTATCCAAAACAGTCGTTTGTGGATACATATATTCAGAATATTTAAAAAAGACTTTGTTATTCAGTGACTATTTTCCAAAGGATTTGTTTGGTGGGTGAATAGAAGACACCGAAACGCTGCGAGATGCCAAAATAGAAACAAGAAACAGGTGGAAGGATTTGTAAGTGAAGTAAATTAAATTTCAAAGGAGAGGATCATATTTTTACTTCTTTTACATTGAAGGATTTCTGCACAATTTTTATAGGGCCTAACTATAGAGCTCGTTAATGGTAATCTTGAAAAAACAGAGAAATATTGTATAATTGCGGAGAAATAATATTCATGGGAGATCTTCGAGAGACTGGGTTGTATTGTAGAAATCCATCGACTAGGATCAGTGGCGTGTGGTGAAATGTTTTTCTAGGGAAGCAATTACATTTAAAATGGAAGATTTTTAATTTTCTAACATAGATCTAAC